TTTTTTTTTTAACATTGTTTATCTAATGATAATAAAGCCATCCAAAAAAAATTGGAAATGAAAAAATCCTTCTAAAGCCTAGATCTAAGCATCTTTCCAAAATGAACGGCCTTTGTTAATTGGGCTAAAAAATATTTCTAGGTTGTATTTTCAATTTTTCCCTTTTTTGTGATTGTTCGTTAGAATGAAAAGAGTGTGTATTTCAAATTTTGGACCAAACAAATGGCCATAAGATGGCTTTTTAAGGTTATTGCATCATATTACTATACAACAGTTGCATGAAATCATTGCCCATATATAAGGTTATTGCATCATATTACTATACAACGATTGCATGAAATCATTGCCCATATATAAGGTTATTGCATCATATTACTACACAACGGTTGCGTGAAATCATTGCCTATATATAAGGTTATTGCATCATATTACTATACAACGGTTGCTTGAAATCATTGCTCATATATATGGGGAGTGATTTTATGCAACGGTTGCATAGTAATATAATGCAACAACCTTCAAAAGCCATGTTAAACCGATTTGTTTAACCCCAATTTTTAAATATATGTTATTTTCAATCTAATGAACGATCACAAAAATAATAATAATAATAATAAAATAAAAATACACCCCAAAATATATTTCTTGAGCACAACTAATATAGGCTGTTCATTTTAGTGAGACACTTAGATCAAGACCTTAGAAGAATTTTGTTCTTTCCAAAATATTGAGATTGCTTTAGTATCATTAGATTAACAATGCTAAAAAATAAAAATCTGATTTTGAATTTGTAAAGATCTAGATCTTGAAATTCATCAAATAGATGGTCGAAATTCCTTGTTGAAGGGCACTCATTTTGACTATATCTTGGGTGCAAATAGAATTTTATTTTTTTTAGGATTGATTATTGAGACGAAGGGAGTGGATGTGCAAATTTTGGGTTCATACAAATATATTAATTATGGTTTTCTAAAAGTGTGGTTGCATTATATTACTATACAACTGTTGCATGAAATCAGTCCCTCTATATATATCTATATATACAAACACACACACGGTTTCTTGCAACCCTAAACAATCCAATTAAGGCGCACCTTCAAATTTATCATAACATATAATTTTGTTGTAAAATTTTTTGAGGATTATCTTAAAAACTATTTTCATATCTAATTAGAAAATTTTTAATTCCAAAAATGGTTAAAATCAAGTAGATCTATAAACATGTGAAAATCATGAAAATGGATGGTTTAGATAATGTATTGCAAGAAGCATTATTTTTGGAACTCAAAAACTTTATTTTTAAAATATTCATACAACTCAATGTCGAGCTGATCAATTAGAGTTTTTCAACATTAAAACAACCTGATAGATTTTTTAAGTGCATATGTGATTCTACATTTT